CGGATGTCTGAATATTTTATAAATGATATAGCGTTGGCAGCACAAATTTCTTTATTTTTATTATTTCTAGACTTTTTATACGTGGTAGAGCTATGCTGCAGCTTTATTATGGTTGTAATATGAATAAGTCGGTCCAACTGAGGTAGGTCCACATTCTCACAGAATATCAGTGTAAATTAGCAGCTTAATAATTAAATCTTAGACCTTAATTGAGACAACGGGTCTGCATTTTTTTTGATCAGATTCTTAATTGAAGATCAATAGACCATAGCATCCACTTACTATCAGGTGAACTGTGTGCTCGTTTATAGGCTTTATTTAAAAAAATACTTTCAGACTATCGTTACAACAGTAATTTAACAAAAATATCGACTGCGTTAAAATTAAAATATTTACTGAAAAGTATTTTTTGGCGTATGTCACTTAAATAATTAAGGAAAATCTAAGGACATGTCATATTATGTTAAAATCCGTCAAACCGTTTAGGCTATAGAACGTGCCAAATAAATAGACATACTGGTTCATACATAGGTAGGTACTCTCGAAAACATTATCTACCTTCTGGGACAGACAAGTAAGAAAGAAAAAAAAAACACTCATTCGACCAACACACAGCAATAATGAACACATAAATTCGTAGTACAAATACAAATTGGTAATTATGAAGTTGTGTGATGTCAAAAAGGATCCCGCCTCTGTGATAATCTGTGAGGTACCACAGCACACTAATTTTCAGTCGGGACCTTAATTGACTTACGTAAAAGCGGACATTTAAAAAGCACATATACGAATATAAAAATAATCTAATTATTAATAATTGTTATACCGACCCAGAAACTATATTATTATTATACTCGTCCGTCTGTGTGGTATGGTCAAAGTCTTTGCCTTATCATTATAACTATTTGTTGTTTTTGAGACGTTGTATTTAAATTATTTGTAAAATCCTAAAAGGTGCAACTCCGTCCACTCCAATTGAGATTTTTTTTTAAATAAAGTACGATATATATTAGTTTTTATTTTTAGCCGTTTCTAAATTTATTTTAACATTTTACAAGTTGAAAACAAGAGTTAAAATAAAATACCATCCATAAACCACAAAGTTTTGTAAATAATGCCAACATCTACATCGTTATTTCCGTATGGGTTTGATTATGAAAACAAAAATACGTAATATTACAATATGATGCAAAAAAAATTATTAAAATATAGACATTATATTTTTTTTAAAAACTAGCGTTTACTGATTACTACATTTTCTGCATCTCGATCACTACCGGCACGATAATTTTATCAAATATTACAGACAGGAACTGAAATACTGAGATACTGAAATAATATAGACAGGAACTGAGTTATACATACACATACACACACACACATATTATATATATATATATATATATATATATATATAATTAAAAAAATATATTTATATTTATTTTTTTAGCCTTGAAAATACACGAATGCAATTACAGTCAGTTACAGTTTTGAAAATTTATTTTTTACTTAGTTATATTATGTATGGTAGATGCAATTTGATGAAGGTGAACACCGTCACGTCATGGCAGTTTGGCTATAGTAAATCATCGGACTCTTGTATTATGTACGTAAGTTAATAATATTAAAGATGTAAATGTGCTCCTTCATTTTCGGGATATTACCACTCACAATTGTTGATTATGCTAACGACTGTTAAGTAAAACTTGGTTCTATTTTACGTTACTACTTTATTAAATAACCTTAAGTCTAATCAAAAGTTTTATGATTACCATTACACTCATTTATCATTACGATTAGTTATTTCACATGAAGGGACAAATGTATGTTTAAACAAAGATATATATTAAGATTTTATAAGATGCAATCTGATTTCTGCGCAGTATCTTTTTCATGAGAGCATGGATAACGCGTCAACCCAATGCAAACATAAATACAATACCTTGTGCTGCCAGGTTAATAATTAAATATTACTACATTAGATTACAAAATTAGAAATCGAAGCCGCCAATGGTCTGACAGCGGGCGTGTGACGTCACTAATCACAACATCAGCTGGGGAAAAGTGAAGGGGGTGTGGAGTGGGGCGGCATGATGGATTCCGAAGGTAATAAATTTTAAAATGTTAAATTACAATTCTTGGCTCGTCTTTATTGATTTTCCTACATTGTTTACCATGCATGAATTCATAAGTGTACACCTTATTGTAAGTGGATGACGTGACCCACATACAACTACATGTATCTTCGAATAAGAATAAAATTTCAAATTTGCGTTTTTATCATGATGTCTAAAATGACACACATTTACACACTACCCTCACCATACGAAATACAGTTGGAATGGGAAAAATGAACACGGGATACCAGTGTAAAATGGCAGCTGCTGTGAAGAAGCACCTTGTATTATTGGTGCGCCATACTTAAGAAGAAGAAGAAGAAAGAGAATCCCTCTTCCGAGGAGGATCTGTCGTGGGGTGGCCTGCGATGGTGGGTCCACGGATGTGTTTGAAAGCGTTCCCAAGGCCCCGGCAATATATGACGAAGGTGGAACACCATGTGGTTTTAGTCAGGGCGAGTCCGATATTATCTGTTGTTGCTCATTTATTATCCATTATTACCCATGTTAATGAAAATAAAAAAAAAACTTTTTGTAAACCCAAATATGCATGCCTTTGTAGTGTGTGTTTAGTGTATGCTCATGTAGCTATATATATATGACAGCCTAATAGACATTTAGAGTTAGTAGTCTACTAATGTCCCTACAAGAATTTGAAAATTTGTGCTCATTGTTTTTTTTTTATAGGATAGAGTGACAAACGAGCACACAGTCCACCTGATGGTAAGTGATTGCTGTGGCCCATAGACATCTACATCTATCCTCGATTACGAATCAAAATGCAGATGCGTTGTCACCCGTGAGGAAGAAGATGTTGTCTGATAAAATTAAAAAAATACGTGTGGCACTCGGTGACTGCCGCGGTAAAGCTATTGCATAGCATTTTTATCAACTTATGCAATTATAATTATTTATTTATTTTATTTATGCAGTTAAGTCTTTGATATTAAATCAAGTTACACTTTTTGAGCGTGGTGACCGATAAGAAAACAATTTTTTTTCGCTTATTGAATAAATGAGTAGTTAATATTGTTTAAAATATTTTTAATACCTTACAATAAATGTAGGTTATTCAGGAATTTTTATCATTGAGTTAGCAGCTAGTGTACACGCGTACGTCTAGTCGCACGCACACAAACACCGTGCCGAACTCTGCCGAGTGCCGAAGTCTGCCGAACTGAAACGACGTTAGACGATGCACGGCTTTCAACGCCACACCTCCGTGCCCGTCGGAGTGGGGAGCGTGATTTTTTTTTTCGTTACGGAATTTCTGGATTCGGTCCCCGCGCTCAAGGCCCGCGATAGAAGCTATGCAATAGCTTAAAAGTGCGACACAAAATATAGAGAGGCAATCACTATGAGTGAACGAGTTTTAATAGCTTTATGATTTTTAGCAACCGGAATAGCAGTTTGCAATATTTATTTCGAGTATCGAAGCAGAGTATCTCAAGTATAATTTCAGAAGTTTATTACGCTTTAAGTGATTATGTAAAGTTAAATTAAAAAAGAAATATTTGTTTAAATTTAAAGATCCATGTATAATTTAATTACAATTCAGTGATATATTTCAAATCTATTATATTATGTTATATTATATTATTAAAGCGACTTTTCAGTAAAACTAAAACAAACATTATCGTATCGCCTCGCGAGCCAAAATATCACCGTACACACCAAACGAACGGCGATCACTGAGGCAGGTTTGAGCACGTCCTGTTTACCGACAACTTATGGCTCGGGGTCGAGCGGCGCTCGACTGAGACAACGTGCGCCCGAGGTAAGTCCACACCAGCCGAGGCATTTGGCTCGAGTGGCTGCCGCCCGAGCCCGTGCGCTAAGTGTGTACGCGGCTATTTGAACACGCGGCCCTCAGTGCTGCAACTATTTACTATGACTAATGGAAAATACTAAATAGCCGCGTACTGATTGAGCGAGCAGCCTCGCGAGGCTGCCTTGGACATTTGCTGCAGTACGCATGCCGCGCGAGGCAGCCTCGGTCTGTAAGTTTTCTAATCCGAGGCTGCCTTGCGCGGCAAGGCCGAGCCACCGTGAGCATCGACGCTCAGTTTAACTTGGAGTCGAATAGAGACCGCGCGTGCGTATAGTTTGCCCGAGACCACCATGAGGCCGCACATTTGGAAAGCTATCGCTACCACTGCCTTTTTAATAATTCTAATGCTTGCAAAAAAAAGAAAACAGAAAACTAAACGTTATTGGATTAAACTCTTATATAAAAATAGATTACAGGCTGGGAACAGATTTTTTGAAGAGTTGTGCTAGTAAAATCGAATTTGATAATGTGTATTCTCTCATAAACGCCAAAATAACGACGTTGGCAGCAAGGGACGTATATCAGATGGCGGTGTGTTTAAAAACACCAATTCATACAAAAAGGTCGAAAAGAAGGAATTGAACATTCCTCCGCCAGAAATATTACAAATACCGTATAAAATTGCAGTGCCCTATTTTATTCTAGGCGATAAAGCTTTTGCTCTCAATGATTACACATTGAAACCTTATGAAGGTACTCCAGAAAGAGGTTCAATGGGAAGGATTTTTAATTACAGGCTGTCCAGAGCAAGAAGAGTTGTGGAGAATGCCTTTGGAATTTTAAGCTTCATTTTTAGAGTACTGAGGAAGCTGCTACTATTAGAACCAGAAAAAGTTACGAAAATCGTATTGACTACTATATGCTTATATAACTACTTGCGTAGAGATCAAGCTTCCTCACAAAGGTTCACTCCCCCAGGAACATTCGATGCCGAGGTTGAAGGGACAGTAATATCCGGCCGATGGCGACAGGATACAGAAATCTCATCAATGCTATCTATTCAAGCCATACCACGGCGAGGATCAACAAATATAAAAGACATAAGTTCACATTTAGGGAGACATTTCATAACAAACGGAGCAATTTCTTGGCAGAATAATTATCAGTAAATAATAGGTAGTCACTTCACCTAAAGTATCTTGCGTATTTCCTGGGTGATTTCTGTCTCCTAGAAAACTGAAGGCTTCATAGGCATACCAATTTGAAACATATATTTTACCACGACCTGCAGTATAAAATAAAATAAACATGTTAGAAATTATATAAAAACCGGTGTAACTTTGGATATAATAAAATGAATGTTGTTAACCCTAATCATAAACATTAAATAATAAATACCTGATCCTGTAATTCGGCTTTTTTTTTCTCTCAACTTTTCCAACCTGTAAGAAGAAGTTTTGTGTAGTAAAGAGTCCATTTTTTTCTTTAATTCAGCTATTGGAATGTTCATTTCCTGGCTTATTTTTCTCCGTGCATCTTCTCTTAGTCCTCTATTTGTGTAATCAGGACATTGCGCATCCCAAAGTCGTCTATATTCACCATATAGTTGTATTAATTTAGGACGCTGTTCTTTATCAATGACGCACAACTAAAACACAACGAATAAGCGAGGCAAAGTACTACCGTCTTGAGTGAGCGCGGCAAACGTACTGAGGCGCCTTTGAGCATCGACAAAATCCGACAAAGCTCGGCTCTGGCCGAGGCACTCTCGGGCGAGGCAGCGCGTGCGTTTGCCTCGGTCGAGGCACGTCTTGACCGACCGAGGATTTGGGCTGCTCGCTCAATCAGTACGTGGCTAATGCAGTTTAATGCTGGTGTGTTTCTTTCGTATGATGAGTGTATAGAATGGGAGACCCCTTTTACTGGAAATGAGGCATTCCATCTCAGCTTTTAGGAATGAAAATGATTATATATAGTAATATGATTTAGACGTTTATGAGCCACATCATCCAATTACCTTAATGTGAACCGTGTATTCGTTAGTTTACCCTTATTTAATTAACAACTTACCAAAATGTATTAAGTGAAGAACAGTGATTAACATTCCGTCATTAGGTCATTGTCTCAATCAAGGCTAAAGTTTTATAACAATTATTTAATATCGTAATTTTCGGTCAGAAGTTATCGTCAAGAAGGTCCTTTGGAAATACACTAGTATTGTACCAACGTTTTACACTATTCGATATTTCCATCAAAACATTCCCCAAAATATGTCCACAGTCCTATTTTCGGTGAATAATGGAGAGGCTATTTAAAGATACCTCCTTATCATTAGACAAACACAATAGCGATCCTTATAAGAAAAGATGGTGAGTGAAGTGAGAATTACGAGTATATTCTTTTAAATACGAAATACGGGGTATATTCTATTGAAAACGAATTTACTTAATATTAAATTTATTTTATACATGCACAATAAATATAAAGTTATATCCAGTTACTTTAAAGTATTGTAAATAATTTTATTGTAAATTTGTAAATACGTGATTGAATTATATAAAGACATTAATTCTGAAATACAATCATTAATATGAGCTGCTGTAAGCTCCACAAATCAATATCAATTTATCACTTCAGTTCATTAATAAAGTTATTATTATAGCACACGTAATTTCTTAAAATATTCTCCACAAATTCCAACGTTGATTTAATCGTATATATTGTATATCATTAGTGCTATATATAGTGGTTAATAAAATAAGTGATATTCACTCTGTAAATATAGGAACAGCCACAAGCTAACCATTTACACAGTTACTCGCCTCCACCCAGTCAGTAATTCATAATTAGAGTATAGACTCAATCATAGAGAATATATTAATTATGATTTCCGGCAAAGATGTATGAAAAGTGTTATTATAACATTAAGGAATTTATGAACGACAATATTCCGTGGAATGAGGTGATCATTACCAAGCCATTTCTATTTTGTATTGCATTGTTAATTATGGTGGATTTTTAATGATTGTGCTTTTCTTTTACAAAAAAGGCCCGATGGGTTTCTTGCTCAAACCCATTCTTTTCAAACCGTGATAAATGAAACTTAAGGGTAACATTTAATAAATATTACTTATAATCTATATTGCGTAAAAGAGTATCTATTTCTATTTTCTTTCTGTTTTTATTTCTATTTGAATTTATTACGAATACAACATCAGTAAAATAAATAACATATTTAAGAGACTGTAAGCTGATATGCACTCGGAGCAGGTCCGACGCTTGATTAAATTATGAGCGAGCAGATGTAGCGGTATCGCACCTTAACTTTGCGAAGGTAACAGCTGTTTTATGGAGAAAAGAATCGTATTTATATGATAGTATTTTTATATTTATACTACAAAATACAGACACAAATAGTAGCTTAATACTGCTGGATTTCGTAAGGTGACTTACAGGTGAGATACAGAGACCCTTATATGTGAAAATAACTATTGACTTGGTAGAGCCATAATGCAGCTATATTGTATAAAAGAATCGTATTTATATGATAGTATTTTTATATTTATACTACAAAATACAGACACAAATAGTAGCTTAATACTGCTGGATTTCGTAAGGTGACTTACAGGTGAGATACAGAGACCCTTATTTGTGAAAATGACTATTGACTTGGTAGAGCCATAATGTAGCTATATTGTATAAAAGAATCGTATTTATATGATAGTATTTTTATATTTATACTACAGAATACAGACACAAATAGTAGCTTAATACTGCTGGATTTCGTAGGGTGACTTACAGGTGAGATACAGAGACCCTTATATGTGAAAATAACTATTGACTTGGTAGAGCCATAATGCAGCTATATTGTATAAAAGAATCGTATTTATATGATAGTATTTTTATATTTATACTACAGAATACAGACACAAATAGTAGCTTAATACTGCTGGATTTCGTAGGGTGACTTACAGGTGAGATACAGAGACCCTTATATGTGAAAATAACTATTGACTTGGTAGAGCCATAATGCAGCTATATTGTATAAAAGAATCGTATTTATATGATAGTATTTTTATATTTATACTACAGAATACAGACACAAATAGTAGCTTAATACTGCTGGATTTCGTAAGGTGACTTACAGGTGAGATGCAGAGACCCTTATATGTGAAAATAACTATTGACTTGGTAGAGCCATAATGTAGCTATATTGTATAAAATCTATATACGGCTGTAGCACAAATAGATCGGTTCGACCAGGTAAAGGCCATCTATGTTCGACCTCACGGGTTAAAACGCATCTGAAATTTAAATCTTGATGAGAAGAGATCTTGAGATCGATGTAGGTGTCTATGAGTCACAGCATCCTCCTAACTCTGTACGTTTGACACTCTTAAGTTTAGTTAAGTTTATTATCTCAAAAAAGAACAAATATTCACTTATATGAGACTTAAAAATAACATAATTGGTAAAAATAATACATTTAAATATGGTTACTTATATGAATAAAGTTACATAAATATATCGAAATTATGATTAAAAAAGCACTGTCTTTAAATTAATGTTTGACAGTGCTTTTTTAATTTATCTTTACTTTTTGAAAACGATTTTTCTTGAAATACCTCATTCGGTAGGCTATTGTACAATAGCGCTCCCTCAAACTGAATAGTTTTCGAACCATAAGTTTTAGTCCTAGCTTTTGGTAAATGCAGTTTATGTTTGTTTCGTGTACAGTGTTTATGTGATTTCATTTTAAAACTAATTTGGGTGTGTATGGAATCTAAGAGAATTTTTCTGACCAGTATGCACGTTTTGTATTCGTATAATTGACTTATGGATAATGTATCAGTTTTTTTATAGAGCTCTTTAGTAGTACTCTTATTCTGTTAAAAATATTATAATATAGCAACAATAAAGCTAATCGTCGATGCGATAGTATAGTGGCTACTGTAGGTCATGGGCACCAAAAGAAAGCTACGGATGTTTTGCCACTCCTTATGATTGAACAATACGAGACAGCTCTATGTCCAGTAGTAGACAGGTATAACTTAAGGTTAACTAAAGATAGAGAATCCGTATCTATAAAGATACCGTATGAAGTAAAGCAGTATTCCTCATATCCTATCGGCGACAGATCGTCCCGTGGATGTTGCTAGAGGTAATTATCGATGGCGATTGTGTACATGCTATAAATAACCGGGTCGAAATTCATGATAAAACAAAAATATTGGAAAATGCATATTATGTCATATTCTACGAGATTAAGAAAACTTATCTATAACGATTTCTTATATCAATTCTCTTACTCTAAACTCTAAAATTCAATTTACTGAGGAGTTAGAGGCAAATAATATCTTAGCTTTTCGTAGATTTGTTAGTCATCCGAAATCCTAACAAAACCATAGGTCACACTGTGTATAGAAAAAAGACCCATACAAACCGATATTTAAACGGTGAATCTCACCATCATCTTTCACAGTTAGCTACCGTGGGCAAATCTTTGTTATCAGTAACAAATATTTGCCCTCTTAGATCCCTCGTGCTCCAGAGAGCTGTGACAGCAAACGTCTGGGCGCCGAGCTTCGATTCGTAAAGCAGCTACTGCACGACATCAAGCTTCGGGTCCCGCACCTACTTCACAGTGACCGAGTGAAGCTGACCACAGTCGAGCGTGTGCCTGCTGTTATAACATATGTCAAGATTGGCTAAATCTTGAAGCGGGAATTCTATTAGATCATTCTACAATCCGACGAAGAAGATTAATCTCCCAATTGGAAATTCGACCGCGCGTATCATAATTAGAGATTCGCATAGAATCGAACGGAGCGTTCGTATATTTAGATAGCATGTCGCAAAGTTATTTTATAACGCAGCAGTGTTGCCAACGTTTGGAATTATTAGTAAACAAAACGCCTTCATATTCCGTAGTAAAGGGAATTAGAGTCTTCAATAAAATGATCCAAGGTTCGATAAAATTAAAATTTTATTCTCGTTTAATATTGCTTGATGGAGGGAAATAAAATGCCTACGAGAGAGGGAGGTGAAGCTGCAAGCAGATCTATTCGCTTTATCGAAAGAAGTGAGGAGGCTTCGCGAACAACAAGCCACCAGAACTGTTATTCCGAAACGTTCGTCGCATAACTTCACCGTTTATGATTCGTAGTATGCAATATCTAAAGAGAATCGTATTTCGATTCTCTTTAGATATTGCACACTTATGATTATATAGTTTTGTGTGATATGAATATTAGGCTTTACCTCTAGCAGAATTTTAAATTATGTATTTAGATTATTAGTTTTTTAATATAAAATGTGCAGGTTTAGTTACTCAATATTAGCAGTAAACTGACGCTGTGTGATATTTGAATCACTTTTTGTCGTTACAATATATTAAGGTCTTTGTAGTTTGGAAAAGATTATGCAATATTTATTTGCGTTTAGTACAATAGTTTGTGTAGTCTATATTGCGTAGCG